GAATGTCGGACGAAGGAGAACATGGAGTATTGTTAGTACGTGCGGGGGCGGCCGAGAGCCCGGAGGTTTTGCGTCAGGGACCAGTTTGGGAGTGAGGTACCATGAGTAAGAAGGAACAATCCAGATGCTAAATCATTTTGTCCTAGACAACTAAACCCAGACAGTTCCCAGGAAGCTGCAATTTAAAAAGCTAAAAAAATGGATATTTTGGGCATCTCATGCAAGACAAGAGTCATTAGAGAAGACATTTCTGGTGCCCTGAAAATTCAAAGGGCTTCAGAGAAAGAAAAGGAAGTTAGATGTTCTCTCTGCAGCCAAGAACTGGCTCAAAAGCAGTAACTGTGAGAGGGATCTTGGTGTCCTAATGGACAGTCCCTTAAATATGAGACAGCTGTGCGCTGCAGCCAACACAATCCTAGGCTGCATCAACAGAGGGACAGAATCAAGATCACATGAAGTATTAATACCACTTTACAAGGCCTTGGTAAGGCCACACTGGGGATACTGCATCCAGTTTTGGTCACCGCGATGTAAAAAAGATGTTGAGACTCTGGAAAGAGTGCAGAGAAGAGCAACAAAGATGATCAGGGGACTGGGGGTTAAATGTACGAAGAATGATTAAGGGAGCTAGATTTGGATAGGCCGGGGGGGGGAAGTATGGCCCTTTTATGACCTGTGGACTTCAACTCCCAGAATTCCTGAGCCAGCATTGCTGACTCAGGAATTCTGGGAGTTGAAGTTCACAAGTTATAAAGGGGCCATGGTTCCCCACCTTTGGTTTAGACCAGGGGTCTTCAAACTTGGCCCTTTTACGACTTGTGGACTTCAATTCCCAGAATTCCTCAGCCAGGCATGCTGGCTGAGGAATTCTGGGAGTTGAAGTCCACAAGTCATAAAACGGCCAAGTTTGAAGACTCCTGGTTTAGGACTACATACCTGTATTACACTTTTTATGAGGGGAAAAAAAGCAGAAATCTTACCCTTGTTCTACATTTAGTGATAATTATCTCTCTTCCAGCCCCGGAGCCACAAAGCAGCCCACAAAAATCTGAACTAGGCCTCTATCTACTCTTTTTCCCCAGAATGTTCTGTTAGAAGTAAGTCTTCATCCTGGTTCATCCAAGCCGGGAATAAATAAGCAAACATGGCAACTGCTTTGGGAAGAAGGTTACAGTTTATTGCAGAAGACAGATGGTCTTGCAAGAAGCAGCAGAGGAGAGGAAAGAAAGTGGGGAAGAGAGAGAGCACATGGGCAGAAGGTCTTTTTATACCCCCCTCCCAGCCCTGC